GACCTTTAGATCAATGCCCATATATACATACACATTGAGCCAGCATATGTTTTCCCTGAGCCCTAAAAAACCCTAAAGCCCTAAACCATCTTAAACCCCTGAAGCCCTGAACCAATCCGTCCGCAAAGAAGTTGATTTAACTTTGGGTACTGCCCCCACTCAGTAACAGTTGGAGATTATCTATATTATGGATCTATTAGGCCCTTAATAGTAGCCCTATTATAGACTGTTACTGTATGGGGGCAGTACCCAAACTTAACTCATCTGCTGCAACGACCTGCTGTGAGGTGAGGCTGAGACTTTGGGATTCGGGAGCCTCCGGAGTCTAGGGTTTAGTTTTAGGGGCTGATATTGGGGCCTTGCTAATTAGAACAGGGTCTTAAGGGGAAATAATATATGCGAATCATACAAACCTGCGGAATGTATTCAGCCCCCCTTGTTGCTGAGAGAGTGCATGCCAATCTCTGCGCAGGACTTCCCGAGCCGAATCCGGTTGATCTTCTTGTTGGACCACGTCGTTGGACACCTTTTTTTATGTGTCGTCATCCCGATTTCGACACTGCAGGTACAGCAGTCTAAACATCGTCAACGGAGGCTGCAGAAAAAGAAGGCTGAAGAGCAAATCTGCGAGGGCAGCTGCACCCAACAACAGCAAGGCAATGTTGCCAAAAATGTTGGAAGCAAACTTGCTGGCTGCACTAAGTACCAAGGAAGCTGCAGCTCCAGCAGCACTGCACAAAGCGAAACCTACAGCATGCAATGTCGACACGACCGCGCCCAATACATGGGAAGCTACATCTGGAACTGACTGAACCCCATAACATGTTTGAACCACACTGGCGAGTCCAACACTAACCAGAGTCGCTCCAAAGTTCCATACAATAAGGAAGCCACTCTCAAATACCTTGGTTTGTCGCATCGACTGGTATACCACGACCAGGTCCCAAACCAATGTGATGAATGGAAGAGCAGCTGCAAGTGATGCAGACTTGTCGAACACAGGAATTCCCAGGACCATGCTTCCGCCGACAATCACTTCCCATGAGAAAAGGCGCTGTGCTCGCTTGATGTACAGCACTGAAAACCACACTAGCAACGAGAACCACATGACTCCAAAGACGACGGAGATCACAGGCAGAAGATGCCGTAGAAAAAGATAAAAGCCGAGAAAACAAAGTTCCACGACAAGAAGTAATGGTCCTGCCACGACAGCGCCAATTGCTGTTGGAAGCTCGTGGAATCCAATGTGGTACCCGTCATGTAATAGCATGACGACCCACAGCTGGCAGTTGTGGAAGAGCATGTCGTATTGGCTTCCGTTAAGAGGCACTGCTTCAGCCTTGGCATAGACGTCGGCGGGAGAAGTCTCGAACCGGCCGTAATGATGTGTCATGATCATATACCCATATTGGTGGAGATACTCTGCGACGATTGCACGGCAAGTCTCACACCGAGCCACGAGGTCGGGGTCGTTCGTGCTTATTAAGCGTCTAAGCATCTTACTGTTTCCACCATGAAGGCCAGGTCTACCACCCCGAAGGTCCGGGTATCCTTGGATTCCCCTCATCTGGAAGTCGCTCCCTCCCCAGCGCTCTCCAGTCAGCAGATCCCGTGCGAGCAACTCCGCCGAAAAGACTTCGCCATTCTCAAAGATCCAGACTGTGGCCCAATGCGACAGAAGGCCGTTCCCAACGACCAGCACAAGCCATCCCTGTCGTTTCGCCGATAGAAGAGACTCTCTGACCGGTGTTAAGCCTGCAAAGTCGGTCTGTGGAGCAGCTGGGGAGGACCACCCCGACGGCCTCATTGAGAGCATGGACCACAACGGCATCTTGACCAAAGCGGAGCTGGTTCAACTGCCACAGTGCTGGCAATCTTGCAGAGCCCACGAAAAGTCTCATATACAAGTACAGCCCTCTGCCTGACGATTCTCTGTCTGGAACCCTTCTTATGACACGTGCATAACCGTTCAGGGCAACAGCTTGATATTGGCAAGATCCAGTTTTTTCAGCTGTCAAGAGTCTTGTCTCTGTGGTTCAAAGATCATGCACGGGCGTCAAGCTACAAGCTGTGGGCAACACAGAGTTTGCGCAATCGGGTGAAGATGCCATTTAATTCACGACTTGTGGCCCACTCCAGCTGCCAACTCGGCTTTGTTGTTTCAAGCTTTCAGGCCCAAACTTGAAATTGTTGGTGACTGCCGCAGCACCGAACTTTGACACCCCTGAACAGTGATTAGCTGGCACAAGAGTCTGAAATCAAATCAGACTCAGTCAACTGCATCCATGCCAAACGGAGACCTCATCGAGAACAGTCGCAGTGACACCGATTACTGATGTGTCGTTTCGGGGTGGGGGCCATGGCCAAGCCGACTGCTCCAAATACCTCCTACAGCTTCGATCCATTAGCTCGAATACTAAATTTTACCCTAAACACAAATCTGTACGTCTGATCGGTTCATTTAACTTAAAGTTCAATAACCAGTGTGGAATTACTTCGCGTGGTGGTTGTATCATATACACAAGGGCGCAGATCACACCCAGAGACGAGACGAGGCATCAGCTGTTGAGTGGACACATCGCACCTTTACCCAAGTCGTTGGCCTTCGGGCTTGGGGAGAGATGCAGTTGATGCAGGCGCCCAGTGTCACGTTGAAACAGCGAGGTGTTCCTCCCCTCCGTGGCCCTTTGGCCCTACTGGTCTGCTCGAAGACGCAGCAATGTAGCCATGACATGTTTGGCTGAGTCTCTGCATGTGTTTGGCTCTTGCATCCCCCCCCCTCCCCACCCCCACACCACCGCCCCAAAATCTTGCCCCGCCCGCCCCCATTTTGTGGACAAGTGCGCGCATCATGGTCTTTCGAGGGCGAGGTCCTCCACCGCCAAAGTACCCATATGTTAAGATTGAGTACTATCTTTTAGCCTCCAACTACTTTCGGAGCAATTATCGAACAACCGTTTACTCTCAAAGTGCATTCCCATGGTTGAAGGTGCCTGGGCACACACTCATACGAGTTATCGTGCCGCCTCGTGGGACAACCCAGCCTCAAATCTATCGTGCGCTAAAGCGATTAAAGATCCTGGGCCCGTAAACCCGTATGCCTCAAGCTGTACTAGTCGGTGTATGAGCGAGTCTACCAGCATCAAGCAACTTCCTGCGATCGCGCTGCCCTCAGGCCCTGAACCGCGCGCTGCAGTTTTCCATTCCTGAGGATGTTCGCCTCGTCACTAATTTGAGTGAAACCTGCGCAGGCGTCACAGAGACGGCAGTGCCGACATGACAGCACATCATGCGCTAGCTCATGCACTTCCTAGCTCAAGTTTCAAACCGACCTGAGCTCGGGACAGCTGCCCTGACACGCTGAAACGGGACTGACAATGCCGATGCCCGAAAAGTGCTTGGTGCAGCTAGCTTCCCATTCTAAAGATTCCAGCAGTCCCAGCCCGGGCTGAGCAACTCTAGCAGCAAATGTTGGAACCATGGCGCAAGGTACCTAAACCCGAAGCAGTCAAACCCGACCGTACATCCTGAAGACTTAGAATGCAAACTCCACGGCCAACCCCTGCCTAGACATGCGTAGAGAAGCAAGGCTGACATACACACTGCGTTTACTTCTTGAAGTTTAAGCTTTACTTAACTTAGAGGATCATGGGACTTAGTAACTAGGCTGTAAGAAAGGTAACTATAGTTATAATTGCTCATACCCCCAATTAAGGTACTTTAAATCTTACTTACTAAGTCTCATGATCCTCTTTGTGGCAGATAAGTAGGTTTGTGGCGTGTAAGCATCCGAAGGTATGATCGAAACCTACAATATCCTGAGTGGCTTTCGGGACAAAGTTTAAACGATTTAGGGCTCCATAGTCTGAATCCTGAGGGCCTCGGTCTCAAGGTCGTGGGACTGCTTGGCGTAAAATCCAGCTCTCCATGAGCTCCGCTAGAGCCGCCGCGACTTAAATAAAGCCGAATCGGAACTGGGTCAAGGTTCACTTGACCTGGACAAGAGCTCATCGTATTTGGCGGGTGGAAGGGATGACCTCTTTGGGATTCTAATAGCCCGGCCAGGGAGACCGCGAGGCCGTGCCGATCTCTGCAGGTCGACTTCGCGAGCGAGATCCGGCTTGCTGAAATGAAATGGGTTGCTTAAAGGGTTCCTTGGAAGGGTTCTGCAAGGGTTACCATATGAGATGGGGTTTTGGGGTTTCGGGGGTTGCTGTACCTTTTTCCATAACTATTCTTTTTCTGGGCTCTAGATGGGGTCCTGGAGTATAAAAATGAAGTAGCCGCAGCAGATACTACGATCCAGGCTCGGGTTATCGTCTTTGACGACACCACTCTTCACACAAGTCTCGGATTCCGCAGGTAAGGTTGCAGAATGCTGAACCAAACAACAGCAAAGCCCAAAGCATCACAAAAACAACGATGATGGGGAGAGGGCCAAGCAAAGAAGGTACTGTCCGCAGAACCTGCCCAACTGCTCTTTCAACATTCGAAACCACAGCAGGCACTGCATGAACACCATAGTATGTCTGAGCAACAGTGGCAAGTTCAAGAGCAAGCAGGGTCGTTCCACAATTCCATACGACGAGGAAAGGGCTTCTAAATACCTTAGTTTGCCGCATAGACTGGAACACCACGACCACATCCCACACCAGAGTGACGAATGGCAGACCATTCGCCACGGATGCGGACCTGTCGAACATAGGAACTCCTAGCAGAATGATTCCCCCCAGGGGCACCTCGAAAGGGAACGTCCCCTCTGGTGAGCGGTAATGGTACAGCAGCGAAAACCACACAAGAACACCAAACCACAACATTCCAAAGGCTATGGCGACAGCAGGCAGAACATGTGACAGGGTAAGATATACCCCGAGAAAGCTGAGCTCCACGATGAGGAGTAGCGGTCCAGCTACAAGACAACCAATTGTCCACGGCAGCTTCCAGAACTCGATCCCATAATAGTCGTGCAGCAGCATGACGACCCACAGTTGACAGTTGTGGAAGAGCAGGTCGTACTGGCTTCCATTGAGCGGGACTGCTTTGGCTCTCCGAAACAGTTCGGCGGGAGAGGATTGCTTGTGCATCCACATCATGTCGCACAGCATGCCGTAGCCAAAATGGCGACAATAACCTTCGATGAGCTCAATGCGACTTTTCCGACGTCTCTGCAGGAATTGATGGCCCCGAAATGTGCGGCGCAAGTCCTTGCACATTGCTGCCATCTTATCATCGACCGCTTCACTCTTCTCGGGAGGCGCGTGGCCAGCTGCAGCCTCGGCCTCCAGGTTGTCTACCTCGTTGTATACGTCGTTCCCCTGGGAATTGTCGGCATACATACTTTTCCTGGGGTGGTCATGCAGGCGGTTCCCAACATGATCGGCATCGTGGTGCAAATCTTGGTCCTTTCTTGCTTCACTGAGGTTTGCCGGGTTGAGTTCCGTGCTGTTGTCACCCCTGCCATCATCTTGAGCATCTTGGTGACTGCTTGCTTCACTGAGGTTTTCCCAGGGGTCTTCTAGTCGTATTTGACGCATCTGGAAGTCGCTCATCCCCCAGCGCTCTCCGGTCTGCGTGTCTCGCGCGAGCAGCTCCACAGAAAAGACTTCGCCATTTTCAAAGATCATGACTACGGCCCAATGTGATGCAAGGCCAATCCCGAGAAGTAGTATGCACGCTGTCTGCGGTTTTGTGGACAGAACGTATTCGCTGACCTCTACGGAGTGCGCATAGCCGCCGTCTAAGCCTGCCGGGAACGACAGTCCCACCGGGCTCATTGAGAGCATTGACCAGAACGGCATCTTGGACACGGAAGCCGCAAGCACTCTAAGATTTTCGTTCTCACTTGCAAACTATCTGACTGGAGCTGCTCTGCACACACTGCACGTGATGCTACATGTTGACGTGCCGTGTAGTGCTTCAGCCTCAAAGCAATGTGCGGAATAGTGGTCTGAAGCAAGAGACACACGCACACACGCACACACTGAACTACACCACACACAATTCAACTATCGTCAAAAGCGACTGGTCAAGGGTTTGACAACATGTACCCCGGACACGCGGCCAATGACGCAACTATCAGGTATGCTTAGCTTGCTGCTTAAAACTGCTCAAGAAACTGCTGCAATAAATTAAAGCCCTTCGCATTCGAGTAACTGCTGACCCGAAACGTGCAGCCTGAAGCCACGACGAAAGCAAACGACCTCAAGCGTGTACTCAAACATTGGAAACGGTACTGAACAGTGATTAGCTGGCACAGAGTCTAAAATTAAATCAGAATCAGTCACCTGCATCCATGCCAAACGGAGACCTCATCGAGAACAGTCGCAGTGACAAATCAGAACGCCAATCTCCAGCAACTGAGAATCCGGAAAACACGAGGGTCGCCCTGAGTCCGGCAATTCCAAACGTGCTAACTTCATCGCAACCAAAACGCCCTAAATACCGAAATGCCACCGAAACGTCCAACGCCAAAAAGAACCAAAAGGCGAACCACTAAAGCAACGTTGCAAACAGCCACCTTGACGAAGGCCTTGGGCACCTCGACTACCACATCGGTGACTCTGGGCCACGATAAGGCCTCTTCTGCGTAGAGACGGGTTTGGGGGCAGTTAGGGTAGCATGTTCAACGCAAAAAAGCCCAACTATCAGAATTCTTACCCACGTTAAAGCCTCCAGAACGCTGGGGGTGTCGTGGCGGGTAAGGGTAGGATTCACACTAGTGTGAAACCTTCGCGATATTTCCCCACATCCAGTCCTAACTTCAAAACCTACCTTTCGAGTTGCTCACGTCTCTATATTCTTTAGATTTCGGGACACCTGCTCACCAAACCT